AGCAAACCCAAATAAATGCCTCTTTATTTCAATCAGGTCTTTGTTTAGGAAATTTTGGTTAACATTATATATACATTATCTCAATCTTCCAAACAACCCTACGAAATAGTTACCATTATCATCATATAGGTGAATATACTAGGACTTAGAGTTCAAGAAACTCAACCAGGGTCACAGCTAACAGAGCCAGAAATCTAACACAGGATCTTTAACATACATATATTCTTAACTCACTATATGACTATCTAATTTTATTACTTAATGTATGTTCACATATATATGAACATATAAATATAGGTATTTATAAATCTGTGCAATATATATTTGGAATATTTATATATTAAAAATGTGTTTATATAAAAAAACCACACATATCTATTTTTTTCCTTTTATAAATATATTTAAAATAATTTGTCATCAAGTACAACCAATGCTTGATCCTGTGGCCTACTGTTGAGGGTACAAATAACTCAGCTGTAACAACAATAAAATATTATATTAATAATTATAATTATATAATTAATCATATATACACTATAGTTATAGTAACAATTAATTATATGAATAATACTGCTTTCAAAGATGACATTTCTAATCCCTCTATTCAGTGACAAAAATAATTTGAGCTCCTCTTTTTGCTATTTGATTCATTTACATCCATGGTCAGGGTATGTGTTTCAGAGAAACCAATCAGAGTAAAACTGCTACCCCTGGCTTTCAAATAAAATAAAGATACTTAGTTTATCTGTCAAGATCACAACCTTCATGCTAGAGCATGGGTCAGCAAACTACAGTCTGTGAGCCAAATCCTGCCTACACACAGTTTTTATAAATAAAGTTTTATTAGAAAGCAGACATGCCCATCTATTTAAATACTGGCTGCAGCATTAAAGAGTTGGGTAGTTGTAGCAGAAACCACATGGCTCACAAAGTATAAAATATTTACAGAAAGTTTGCAGACTCTTGTCCTAGAGTCAAACTCTTTCTACTAAAAAAGAAAATACACCCAATAATTACACACAAAAACTCACTGGTTTTTCCCTCTCCAGTATTCATGTTTATAAATATATACATTAACTTTTAAAAAATGTTTATGCTTATTTCACTTTTTTCCCTTAATGGAGGCGCTGGGGATTGAATCCAGATCTCTTGCATGCTAAGCATGTGCTCTATCACTGAGCTATACCCCCACCCCTACACTAACATTTATATTACACTGAATGCTAAAAAAATTTAGTGACTATTGTAGAAAATGATTCATGTCCCATTGAATTTTGATATATATTTTTAACTTAAATATTTTATATTTTAAAAGGTAAACTGCAATTTCCTTCACCAACAGCAACCAGTGTTTGCAGTTTATATATCCTGCAGATATATGTTTTAGAAAAGAAATGCTATGTTAGAACAAAAACTTAAGAATTTGGAAACCAGGTTTGGTTCAGCAACAGACAGATTTCAAAGTTGGACTTCAGAGGAAATGATGGCTGATAGTTAATTCAGTCACAACAATTTAATTATTAAAGATCAATTAGTTTACAATTAATAGGGAAATTAGGCACTGAACAGAATATTGACCCAAAAGACCTGGATACAGATTTACATATAAAATTGTTTCAAAATATATATAAAAATACACTTGTAGGTAAGATTGACAAGACATTATTTTCTCCAGAAAGTCTTCCTTAATTCTTAATTCTGAGTTACGCGCCCTCTTGCTGTTTTCACAGCAGTCTTCATTTTCCTTAATCTAGTACTTACCATGCTATATCATAAATGAGTATTTACTTGTATATATGCAACTGCTCTACATTTTAAATCTTAACAAGGGCAGAAATCACATCTTTTTCTTATCATTGCATCACTAATATTTAATACCATGATAAGCACACAGTAGGCACTCAGTATTTGTAAAATGAATAAAAAAGAAATCACTTCGTAGAAGTTCAAAACAACCTATATATTCAGTATTACTGCCTAAAATCTACAAAATAAAATCTACATATTTTTTATCATAACACTTTTTACATTTTAATTATAGTTTAGTATTGTGGTTTATAAACCTGAGTTCAGAGGTGGTATATAGTAAGCATATATTTGTTTTATCAGTAACTATGTATGTGTCTTATATATGTCCCTTGCAAAACAAGAGAGTTTGAAAATCACTGACTTACAAGATTAGCATGATACATAGAAATTAGGCTAGACAGGACCAAGTAAGTCTTTTCTTTCGGCCTATCAGTATCTCTATAATGTGCTGTGTGAAAAATCTAAACTACTAAGTAGCCCAATTTCTTGCCAGCAAACTCACTTATCTGGTAATAAATCCATTCCTGACAGCAGGTACCAAAGTTATCTTTCTTGCGATGCCATTTGGAGCACTGGGAATGATTTATAATTCAAAAGCTTTCCAAAGGACATGACATAAGGGAGGAACAAGTCATTCATATATTCTGAAATGATCAAGAAGCAGAATCTAGTTCTCTAGTTCCAAATCCTGCTCCAGGATTAGATCAAGAAGGAAACTGAAGAAACCTCTAATTCTTAACCATGGAGCAGAGAGAAGGAATGTATACAGCTGTCAGATATAAGGTGTCTCAAAAAACAAAAAAGTCTTTGATGAGTAACTTAGGTTTCACTGAACACAAAAATGAAACATCCCTGAAAGTTAATAACCAAGGATATCTATATATGACAGATTATAACACCAAATAGTTTTCTCCAATGTAAGGGATAGAAGAAAGTAAGTGATTACTAGGACTCCTAGTAAGGGATGCTTAAGAAACTGACACCATTATCATCCTCCTTTTGAATACATAACAACTTCAAATAAGAGCGGTTTCCAAGAAAAAAAAAAAAAAGCTATTTCCTTAAACCAAATAAATCAAGTTTAAAGTAGTAGTTTCCCATCCAAATGGTGGTGGTGATAAAAATCACCACTTTATGAATGTATAATAATTATATATATTATATAACCTAAACAATACAATCCTGGGAAACCATTGGGCCAGTATTTCAATCCTTATTTTACAGATAATTCCCCATTTGCGTATGTGATAAAGAGAAAGACTTGTTCAAAACCACACTGATAGGAAGCAGTACTGATGAATTTAGAATCATGGTCTTTTTAACAATACACTGCTATTTGCAATTATGGAAGTTATAAACCTCTAGATCTAGGGGCATAAACTAAAAGGAAATTCCCTTTTAAACATGTTATATTACTGTATCTGCTGTAGAAGTACATTAGAAACAGCAGGTAAAGTAGATTTGGTTTGTATTTCAACTCTGCTACTTACTGGTTTATGACCTTTGATATTCAGATTAAGGGGCAAAATATTAACTATAAAGAATTTTAAAAAGTTAAATGAGAAATACATGTCACGTGCTCACATGAATTAATGTAAATGGAAGTTCCAATCTTGGCCATTGTTAGATTATTTTCCCTTCCCTTTTTTACCTAGTAAAAAAATTAGGATTCCAGTTCTAGCAATGGCTCCATCAAAAAGGTCTCTGAAGATGGAACCCTACAGGGTTCTTCTCAGTACAGGGTTCTCCTGAGGCTTCTGAGCTAGACACATAAATTACTTGCTCAAGTTCTGTGCGTAATTATAAAAGACAAAAGGTTCAATTTCCTCCCCTTCACTTGTGGAGAAAGACACAGCTAAGGGAAAAAAAAATTTCAGGTGGTAATAAAGATAAGCAGAAAAAGAAGAGGTAGAGGGTGTGAATATTTGAGAATAGGGTCTTTCTGACAAAGGAAGGTTGACTGAAGTAGTAGGAAAAGAGAATCGAAAGGGAAAAAAAATCTCATCAAGTTCTTAAATCCTAGACAAAAGACATACAAAAAGAAGAGACTCATCCAATGAAGACAGAAGATCTTCCTAATAGCACTTTACAGCAGAATCCAGTTAACCCTAAAATGCTGCAAGAAAGCCTTAGATTGGGAAAGGCAAACATAAGAATGATGTGTTTCCATAAAAAAGAAATGACTATACTATCTTCAGTTATAATAAGAGAAATGACTTGTTTTTCTAGAAATCCTGGACATACTAAAAAGAAAAGAAAAAAGTTCAAGAAGTTAAGTAGTTGAGAAAGTATCCAGAAACTTCATTAAAAGGAAAAAAATAAATAAGGGCTCTTTCTTGCAGAGAACAAACAGAAGGACCATCTCATTGATCCCTTATCATTTACCTTAGTACCAGGCAAGAAGTGTGTGAAAATGCTAAAGAAGCTGATAAGGAGAGGAAATTAAAGATTAAAGATTCATATGGGTTTTTCAGTCATTCTAGAGACTAGAAACATGCTTCTTCTCCCTTAGGTCATGTCTCCCAAAACAGCATCTCAAAAATACCAAATGGCATAACAGAGATATACCTACCAGCTGTCAGGGATGACTCAAATCCATTTTTAATGAAACAGCTGAGATTCTACTTCTTCATATAATTTTGAAATGCTACTAGTGTAAAGGGTACTATTTTTTCCACTGGGAAGAAGGGCAGGAAGAAGGGCAGGAAAGAACAATAGGCAAATTAATGAATTATATATGGTTCCAATTTCCAGTTAGTCATCTGTTTCAAATGAAATGTTCTACTTTGATTGAAGCCATTAGCACCCAATAGCAAAAAGAACATGAGTTTAAATGTTCATAATCACAACTAGGATGCAGTCTCTTTCATACGATAACCACTTATAAATAACAAAAAACATATTATTTAAACTAATAAATCATGTTCTTTAGAAAAAAAAATGCAGAATTCTAATTCATTAGTATGCTATTGTTCTGCCCAACTATAGGCAAGCTATCAAAGTCAAATAAGACCAAAGCTCCAAAGTATAGAGATATATTATTTCTTTTAAAGGAAAATTTAAATAACTTTTCTAAATTCTTGTATCTTTTATGCCACTCTAAATCAGTAATATATTCATGTTAAAACAAACATCATCAATCTGTTAGTGGCAACAGAGAAAAAGGAAAATAAAGGAACTATTGGACATACCCTATGTAGTATTTCTAAAACCTTTAGTGCAGTATGAAGAAAACTGTTGAAAATTCTTCCTTCAGAAGGGGGAATGCCGATCTTGTAGAGCTTCAAAAGATGTACCACAACCTCCTTAAAAAGCTCTACAATCTTGAGGAATAGTGGAGGTTCAAGTGCTGACCACCAGTTTTCTGTTATTAAAGGGTGAACATACAAACAAAATTTTTTTTTTTAAATCACAATTTTCAAAATCAAGCTGACTTTTCTTCTAAACCAGTGGCTTTTGGTCTTTGAAAATCTCAGAAAGATATATATAATACAACATTTTGCATAACATTTCTAGAGTTTATAGATACCACCCCACCTTCAAGCTAAAGAATATGGTTCTAAAAACTCTCAAAAGCAAAAATAAAGTAAGCATAAAGTCTACTGAATTTATATTATTGGTTTCCTCAATTACATTAAAAACTTACCACCACACCTAGTATTAAAACCAGCTATTAAAAAGTGCTTTGGAAATTAGAATTTTAATTTTTAAACAAAACCTTTAAAGTTGTTTTGCTCTAATATTTAGAGATCTTTCCAAGTTCTATCTTTAAACTTACACAAAGTTGAAATATGTTGAAGCACTAACTTTAAAATGCAAGGTACTCCTGAAAATCAAATATAGAAACTGAACAATGTAAAGTATACCCTCCTTCCCCACATTCACTATTTGTAGTTATTAACTACAAATGGCAATCCTATAAAGCAGACAGCAAGGAATAAAAAAATCTTCTGACAACAGGGAAGCAACACTCTTTTGAGTCCCTACTTGACTCTTCTAACCACCAGCTAATTCCCTCAGCTTCCAGGATTCTACTCTTGCTTCTTCCTCTGCTTACCCTTAGCCTAAAACTTCTTATACTGATTTTATTACTTCTATGTATCTCCGTTTTACATACCTAACAAATACTTCTAGGAAAAAGAGCACTGGGTTAAGTGTAGCAAGCAAACTACAACAGCTAGGAGATAGAGGTGAAATCTATAAAGTTAGAAAAATTAAAGTGAGTAAAGTTTAGGCCAAGAAACCAGAGCAGATAGAGACTGAACTATAAGATCAGATGAACAGTGGAATCTTCACCTACTTGCAGAGAAATCAAATCAAACATCAGAAAACTAGCAAGTGAGGGAAATACAAGGCAAAGGGTTAACAGAGTTTAAGGAGGATTTAATACCCATATCTGTTCAGTTTTCATTGTTTCTCCTCCTTTACTTCTTTATAGTAAGATCACTCTGGAGGAGATCAGGAAGGGGAATACGAAAAAGTTTTTATCTTTCCTCATACTGTCTTTACTGTTGTATTCAAGTAAAAATTTAATACCTAACATACTTTGCTTCCAACAACTCTAATCACTAGCATCAGATGACTAGAAAATAACAACAAAATGAAAAACAGGTTTATCTTTCCCTAAGACAATGTCAAATGAGCAGGGTAGCAGAATTTCAAAGAGCGAAAAACTAAGAATTTATGAGCATTTTCATTTAAAGAGAAAAAGTTACAAAGGAAAAAAATATTAAAGTTCTTACCAAGTACTTTCAGTGGTGCCTTTTCTAGGTTAACAAGGGCTGTACCAAAGGGAATTGCTATTGTGGTGAAATTGTTGGAATCACTCATCAGGGGACATTCTGGTAGAGTAAGGTAAAATCTCAATGCTTCAACATCAGGTAAGGAACTAGTCAGTTTAGGAATAAGATTCTTTTCCAAACTAGCTGCCACCTATAGTTTGACAAAAAACAAAAACTTACTTCATTTAAAATGAATGTATATTCCAAAAACAAGAAAGAAAATCTTATACTACAGCAAACATGAAATGGAAAAAATAAAAAGGAAGCCACCTTACAATGAATCAATGAATGTAGTTTGAAGGACAAAGAAAATTAATGGCTGAGCATTGCTAAGAGAATTTTTAAAATCTTATGTACAAGCCTCAATTTAAACTCTCTACATCTATAGTTATATAAAGACTTAATCAATATGGTAATGGTAAGTAATTAAGGGTCTGCTCTGAACATCTGGGAAGACTTCTAGATATATGACAGCTAAATTACAAATGCTTTAAAATAATCTGATTTTAATTCTTACATTAGTATATTAAATATTATACAAAGCACAACATAATGAATGTATGAAACTGTAATTAGGTTACAAACATAAAAAGTAACATGGAATAAAAAACTCAACAGCCTACATAATGTAAATATAAAATAGTTGAAAAACAAACCTGCTGAGATATATGAGGATGATCAGGTTGTATAAGTTTGTGGAACAAAAGCCTAGCAGCATTCATATCAACCCCTGAAAATTTGGTGCCAGTTCTATAGTGATCATCATTGCTATTTAAAAAAAAAAAATGAGAAAGAGAAAATAATAAAATATAACTTTAAAATTATTTCACTTCTTATTTGATATGACATTTTTATTTAATATAATAAATTTGGAAAATTCAGCATTCAAAAAAAATTGTCACTTACCTAACAGCTAAAAAACTTCCATTCAGACAGCCAGACGAAGAAAACGTTCCATCTATCTCGCTAAAAGAAATTTAAAAATCCCCAAATCACAAAATGAGAAATCTAATTGTTCACCTTTCTAACAAAAATTAAAATCAATATTTAAACTAATATTTAATACTACAGAGCATTCCACTAACCAACATTGAGAATAAGTCAGAATTCTATAAATGACTAAGATTGAATAATTTTTGATAAAATATTATTGTTTACTCTAGACACTCTCAAATGTTACTATCATTTGATTCATCAAATAAATCTGATGTTTCTAAAAAAAAATTTTTTTATATAAACATGCACATTTAATTTTCTTAATTCCACATTGTGGTAAATCTAACCTGGGATGTTAATTTTTCTGAAGATTACTCTTTGAGCTTTTAAGAAAAATTTTAGTTTAGGAAAACAATCTGGAATTTAAAAAATGGCTGATCAGATATAGCCCCTCATCCCAAATACCTATACCTTCAATAATGACAAAAAATCTTTTAAGTACTAAACAAGTCTATCCATAAGCAAAATATTCAAGAAGCAATACTCGAATCTTCTAGGGAATATAAAAGTTAAAAGACAGTGACCTGACCACTATGAAGCTAGAAGGAACATACTGCAAACCCAATCCTTAAGTGGCTATATTCAGTACTTTATCAGAAAGAACTATAATTTATATACATTTAATTGAGAGATCTCTTAAAATATTCATTATTATAGAAATTCTAGACATTTAAACTTTTGTATATAAACCATTCAGTAAGTGATATTTAATCAAATACTTATTTAAATAAAAACTCCAAGTACAGTTCCTCTACCATTGAGGACTTGAGAGATTACGTTTGTCTTAGTACAGACAAAATACTTTTCTTACTTGGCTATCTCTACAGGAAATCTTCCAGAGGGGTAGCTCAGCCATTTTTGAATTAGGGCTTCATTCACAGTCCAGATTTGCTTTGAAGGATCAGGACATCTAAAGTCATCTGGTGGCCTAGAGTTCTAAATGTTACATAAGTAGATTAGTCAGAGGAAAGAGATATACCTAACTTATAGCAAGGTACACTTCCACTATGTATTCAGTATTTTTCCAACAGAAGTTAATCTCTACTAGACACCTGAAACAAAAACTAATCAAATGGATCAGAAAAATTCTGTCCACGAGAAAAAATCAAGGCAATTACTTTGTAACATATAAAGAACATTAATATGGTTTTAAAAAATTCTTCAATTCTTATTTGAGCTTAGTAATTATTTATATGATTACTATTACCTGGAGATTAGAGTAATGTGAAAAGCTTTGATCTCCACCTGAGAAAATTCTTTTTACACAGAAATATTCTTCAGAATCTGTAATAAAAATAAAATGAAAAAAAATTCAAGATTTATATGCATTTATCAGAGCATCAAGTATGCTCCTGGATTTTCTTTTACTCCTCTAACTTTATTAGACCTCCCAGTCATGGGCTCAATGACATAAAATGACTTGGGATGTTCTGATTGCTATGGAGATGAGTCTGACAGAGTGACGAAAATTAAATGATTCTACAAGCACATCTGGTTAAGTTTTTACAAGTCTTTCTTTTGGCCTGCACACACAAAAAAATCAATTTTCTAGTCCGTATCTTTATCATCTCAATATATCATAAACTGAAGATGATGTAGAAACTGAATGAAAGTGTAAAAGACAGCTCAAAAGAAAATAAAAATTCAGAATATTCATTTTTTTAAAAGAATGACAAGCATATGTTAAATCTTTTGAATAATACAAAATTCATAATGCAAAATTACCTTCTTTTTCAATATAGCTGTGCAAAAGATGACACACACACCTTTATCAATATTTATCAATAACACCCAAATCAGGTCCAAAAATACAAAAATTAGTAAGCAAATTTAGTAGAAAATACTCAAAGATACCTTTCCAAAAAGCTATTCAAAGCCTCTTCCGTTTTCTTTGCCTCTGTGCCTCAAAAATACTGTTGGGCTAGTATTCAGAGGTACCACATAACAAAACACCAAAGCTCCACACTGTAACTTAAGGCTAGTTATTTCCAAATATAACCCATTTCTGTCACCCTCTACTCTTTAGGTGACTAATTCTTCACCTTGTATTATTTGTCACCATTACTGCTACAAAAGTATAAATTCTTAAGGAAGGGACCACATCTTAATTTCCTCAATCATTCCCTACTACCAAGCACAATATTTTATTTGCAAAAGAACTCAGTAAATATTTAATAATATAAAAAAATTAACTAGCTTAGGAAATACTAAGAGCTTCAGAGACCAGAACATTAATATAACCAAATTTTCCACAACAAGAATGCTCCAAGGTCAAACAGTAAAAGGGTAAATCTAAAATATTAAACCAATCATTCACCTTAAAATCTTTTCTCTACATCATTCTCACAAGTCTACTTGAAATCGTGTACTTCCTTAAGATTTAGCAGGATGTTATTAATTTGTTCCTAAAATGTGATTTTGCCCTCTTAAAATTTAAATAAGCATCAGGTAGATGAATGACTAATCTACAGTACATGAATGAATTTCTGTGGGCTGTAAGTAAGGTACCAAAAATTGTTTTCCTTAATTTCCTTTTAATTACTACTCTAAAAAAGTCTATGAAACCTAGTCATTTGTCCTACATAGCTTTCTGTAGACTGGATTTTGCTGATTGTATCCTCAAGGTTTCTCCTAACATTTTCTTGATCGTCTGTATTTCCTGTAAATTGGTAGCTGGATCTAAAGAGGCTTTAGTTAGATTAGTCAAATTATTTTGACAAAACTATTACATGGTGGTGAAAGGGGTTGTTCTTCCATTAGGAAGCATTAAATATGTAGTTGAGTTCCTTTTTTGTGTTGTTAGTAACCACTGATGCCCAATACTTAGACCCATTAATTCACTGTGGGTTGAAACATGATATGCTAACATTACTTCCTCATCTGGTAGTTGGACCATTAGCTTACCCCTATCTACTACATAGTTCATTACCCTGTAATAGGAAAGATTAATGCTTGATCTTTTCTACTTACTTACTATCACTTTGCTTTTTGAATCTGCATTTCTTTGATAATAATTTTTACATGTTTTTTAAGTAACATGGATTTCCTCATTGAGAATTTCCATTAATTTCCTTTATCTATTACATGTCTAAATGTTTGTCTTATTTACTTATTAGGTGTTTTACTGTTTTTCTCACCAATATGTATGAGCACTTAGGATATTCAGCCTACTACTAACATCAGGTTATATTCAATATTCTTCCTAAATAATTATTTAATTCTGACTCAGGTTTCTTTTTCCATTAAATCAAATGTATTTATCTCATTCTTTATGACTTTCATTGCTATAATGCTGAGAAAGGTTTCTCTCATCCTCAAATCATAGAATTACACTCTTGTAAGAATTTTTTTTTACATTTAACTCTTTAATCCATCTATAACTTCTTTTAGTGATACTGTTAGGTTAGGATCTAAACTGACCTTCTCCTTCCAATTTTCATTTGTTGAGTAATTCTTTCCTCTTATGCACATATTAGTGATGCCTTGTTTTAAAGTTATAAAAAGGCACTATCCCTCTTCCACCTTATAACACAACACTAAACAACTCTGGCACCCTTTTCTATCCCAAAAGTTTTCTCAAAGTTCTCAACATATAACTCCAAGAGCCACTGTCAATCAAATGGAGTTTAAATTTGAAACAAAACCTATATACACGGCCAATACAGGGATTTTTACCCTGGATCTCTATTAAGTTATAATGACCCTAATGCATATACCAATAATCTGATTTAACTGTTAAAGTTTTATAATATAAGTTGTCATATATAGGAGGGCTAGTTCACTTTCTCTTACTCTCTACAAAATACATTGTCAGGAAAAATTGTGAAGACTTTGAAATAGGCCACCTCCCTCAACCTGTCCCATTTACTGAGTCTTGATGAGAGCACCCTTTAGGAATATCTCTACCTAAATGTGTCTTTGAGCAATTTACAATTCTGTAAATCATACTTGTATTTAAGAGTAAGACTGACAGAGATACAACTATGTATGTTCTCTTGGTTCTCAAGGAAAAGGAGTAGTTTTTGATGGTCTCTACATCCCTTTACACACTTAGAACTTATTCAGGACAACAAAGGGCTTAAAAGCACTAATACATACCATTTTAGAATTTAAAAGCAAAAAATTTAAAAAACATTCATTGATTTATTTGAAGATGAGCAATAACAAATGCACTCCATGTTAACATACATAACATCTCAGCATTAATATGAAAGTCACTTTGACCTCATGAACCCTCTGAAACACCACCACTGTCCTTGAGCAACTGTCAGCTTGTTCCACAATATGAAAGAGCATAAATAAGACACAACATCGTAAGTAAATTTTATCTTCCTTGGTTTATACTTGACTCTGAAAGAAGCTATAAAATGTGTTAAAATCTTAGCAAAGTTCACTCATTTTTAAAGAGTGTGCTCCCTGTGCTTTCACCTGTAATGTAAAATGTTATTTGTTACTTTTTGTGAAATCTGCCAGAGTAAAAATTCCATCTTACTAGAATAATTTTCTATGCTTTATGTTCATTTTTATTGTCTGTCTTTATTTTTTAATTTTTTTTTTTTTTTTTGGTGAGGGGAGGTAATTAGGTTTATTTACTTATTTTTAGAGGAGGTACTGGGGATTGAACACAGGACCTCCTGCATGCTAAGCATGTGCTCTACAGCTTGAGCTATACCCTCCCCCTCCTTGTCTTTCATAATTTAAGGGAGAAAAAAGAACAAAGACTCCTCACTTATGAACTAACTAAAGTTCTTTTCAATCACATTACCATTTACATTTATTTTGAAATGTTTTACTGTCACTTAGGTAAAATAGGTAACTAAGTAGTATTTCTCAAGTATCAATGACTATATCTTTTAATAAAGTATTCCAACCTCCTCTCACAAC